CCTGCCACCTTCCTCAGCTCAGCGTGTCAGTCTTCTGCAATGCTCACCCAAAACACCAGCAACTCCGTGCCTAAAGTCACCTCGATGGAGGTGACATGAAAAGTGAGGTGTGGGGACACCACCGAACCCCTGGCCCTCTCTGGAACCAAGGTGCCAGAGCCAGCCTGAAAATCAGGCACCTGCCTTTGCTCAGGACAATGAGGTTTGGTTTGCACTGGTGAGTCTTTGTGTCACTTTTGAAGAGCAGTAGGAACTGTACCTTCTGTTGTGGTTGTGGTACACAGCAATGAGAACAAAAGCCGTACATGGGTGTGATTGTCCACCGCACTGCCACTGGCAGATCTATGTAAAATTCAGAAACCCCTAACATCCTGTTTTCCTTCTACTATACAAACCCATTATTTACTTTGGTGTTGCCACCATCCCTGTGATGCTGGCCCAAGCCATGGGAGTTTCGGAAGTTTTTAGATAACAAATTCAAAATTTCAACATAATTTGTTGGCCTAAATCCCTGTTTCAGGCTTTCAGCCTAGTGCATGTGTTTTCTTGCAAGTTCAGTCATCCTTGTCTCCGTTCCTCAGGGTTTGCATATGCAAACCCGTGAGCAGTCACTGAGCTTAATGTTTGGGTAGGTGGTTTTATAAAGTGGAAATCTGCTGATGGATCTGTAGGGATAGTCTAGATGGCTATTTGCATTGAATTTGTACATGTACAAAAAGAAAGGTTACTGGCAGTCATAGTTTTTAAATACAGTGCTTAAATAATGGTATGTTTGAGGTTCATGTTTACTCCCTGGGAATGGACGCAGCTGACAAACTGGCAAAAGCTGCCTTTCCTCCACCACTGCTGTAAGACCAAAGAGCGTTTTGTAGGTCCATCTGACATGGTTTAACCCCAGCCAGCAAACAAGCACCACACAGCTGCTCACTCATTCTGCCCCATGGCAGGATGAGAGAGAGAATTGGAAGGGTAAAAGTGAGAAATCTCATGGGTGGAGATAAAGACAGTTTAATAGGTAAGGCAAAAGCCATGTGCACAAGCAAAGCAAGACAAGGAATTAATTCACTACTTCCCATCAGCAGGCAGATGTTCAGCCATATCCAGGAAAGCAGGGCACCATCACGATTATCAGTTACTTGGGAAGATAAATGCCATCAATCTGAACGTCTACCCCTCTGCCTTCCTTCTTCTTCCCCCAGCTTTATATGCTGAGCATGATGTCATATGGTCTGGGATATCCCTTTGGTCAGTTGTGGTCAGCTGTCCCAGCTGTGTCCCCTCCTAACTTGTGAACCCCCAGCTCACTCACTGGTGGGGTGGTGTGAGAAACAGAAAAGGCCTCGACTTTGTGTAAGCGCTGCTTAGCAATAAGGGAAACGTCCCTGTGTTATCAACACTGTTTTCAGCACAGCTCCAAAACGTAGTCCCATACCAGCTACTACGAAGAAAATTAACTCTATCCTAGCCAAAACCAGCACACTATCCTTGTGTGGTTACACTTCTAAATCAAACATAACCAGTTGACTCGATTTTGTGAGTTGCTCTACAAAGTCTTTGAGTGCAGTGCCTTTCCTCCCCACAGCTGTGCTGGGCATGTGGACCTCTATCTTCTGTGCCTTGTGGGGTCTGCAGAGGTAACGCAGAGCACAGGCTGCCTCATTAAAATAGAAAACTATTCTAAGAAGCAAAAGGAAAGTGGAGTGGGGGTGTGTCATATTAATTCAGAGAAGATGAGTCTCATTAAAGTTCAAATGGGTTTTTCTCCCCTCCTCTCAGATGCAGCATGGAGCAATATGAAAGTGGAAGAGCAGTATTGATTGGAAAGGGGGCAAAGGAACAGGCAAGACTCTTGTATAGATCTATTTTGCTCTTTTCTATGACTTCTATTGAAATTGTAAATGTATCATTTATAATAAAGTAGCTTATAGGCTTGTTCTTCACAGTTTGTAGAAAAAACGGAGTAACCAAGATGTGGTTCATCCCCTTGCCAGCTTAGGATAGTATCTGCCCAGATCATTCCAGATAATGATGCTACCACCAAAGATGTTCCAGGCATCTTGCATTTAAAAAAGAGGGCATAGCCTGGATGTAAGAACAGATGAGTGTGCTGAGTAATTTATCCAGAAAATATCAAGTAGAGCTGAAAGGGAACTAATGCAGAGCTTCGTTTAAAGTTGAAAGCAAAACTTGCTTCTATATTGCTGCAAAAACAGAGGCAGTTCCTTTTGTATCTCAAACACCAGAAGAACCAGGCTCCATGATATAGATGTTAAGGTAGGACTCAATTTGAGTTAATGAAACTCTTGTGTCCATATTGAGTAGAGGCTTAGAAGAGAACGTAGCAGCCTGGTTCTGCTAAAAAAACAAAATGATGGCTTATTGATAGGATACCCTAAACTGAAAAAAACCAGCTAAGATGCCATGTTCAGTGTTGCCTTCTAATGGTGGTTCAGCTGCCTCTGGTGTCTCAGGAGCAAGAGGTTGCGAGCAGCACTCTAAATGTGGTGGAGAAGGTGGTGCTGTCCCTTGGAGACTGGCAAAACCAATGCAGCATCTCAGGTGGGAGGCATTTTCTTTACATTTTTTTGGATGTTTGCCTCATGCAACATCTCTCCAGGTCTGCACTAGGTGAGCTTCCCTCTTCACCTAAAGAACTCATCCACAATTTGAGGATGGGTAATGGTCAGAGGGTGGGATCATGTTGCACTGTGCAGAAGTTTTAAAACTTGTGGATTAAAGTCAATGGTGTTCTGGTGGTCTTGGTCTGGTGGTTAATTGAAGACCAGGCCACACATAGAGTGACTGGATAAAGAAAAAGGTCGCATGAGAGCCTTGCAGCAGCTTGTGTTACCATTGATTAATGAACATTTCAGAGTGGAGAGCAAACATAATGAAACATGAAATAAGGCTCTTATAAAAATGCATTGGAGGATTCACTCTGTGATCGTATTTTTGAGCTCTGAATATTATGCTGCTAATATTTTTGTATTGCTGTTGGCTAGGGTATCTCAGCTGGGACTTCTCTAGATGGTACCTGCAAGTATTGGACTCACATTTTCCTGTAAGTCTATTTTTTTTTCCTGTGACACAGCCCTTATTGCCCATCAGATGTTGTTAACCAAAGCTATTCCTTACCTGGTGTGACCAAGGTAAAAGTTGAAATGGGTTTTTCTCCCCTCCTCTCAGATGCAGCACGGAGCAATATGAAAGTGGGAAGCCAATATTGATTGGAAAGGGGGCAGGGAAGCAGGCAAGACTCTTATATGGATCTATTTTGCTCTTTTCTATGACTTCTATTGAAATTGTTAAAGCTACTCCTTACCTGGTGCGACCAAGCAGAGCTTTACTGAGTAAAGAAATGAGCAAAAATGACTTTGTATTGTCCACGGATCATGGAGAAGGATGTGGGGGTACTGGTGGATGAAAAACCGGACATGAGCCACCAATGTGCACTTGCAGCCCAGAAAGACAACCATATCCTGGGCTACATCACAAGAAGCGTGACCAGCAGGCTGAGGGAGGTGATTCTGCCCCTCTAGACCCCACCTGGAGTCTTCAGTATAAGGAGGACATGGACCTGTTGGAGCAGTTCCAGAGGAGGATCACAAAAATGATCAGAGAGATTGAACACCTCTCCTATGAGGACAGGCTGAGAGAGTTGGGATTGTTCAGCCTGGAGAATAGGAGTCTTTGGGGAGACCTGATTGTGACCTTAATACTTAAAAAGGGCTTATAATATAGGGCCTGTAACAACAGGACAAGGGGTAATGGTTTTAAACTAAAAGAGGGTAGATTCAGACTAGATATAAGGCAGACATTTTTTACAATGAGGGGGGTGAAACACTGGAACAGGTTGCCGAGAGAGGTTACAGGTGCCTCATTCCTGGAGACATTCAAGGTCAGGTTGGATGGGACTCTCAGCAATCTGATCTAGTTGAAGATGTCCTTGGTTATTGCAGGAGGGTTGGACTAGATGACCTCTAAGAGTTCCTTCCAACTCAGTACCTCTGTGGTGCTATGATTCTATGGATCTGACACATTTATGCATCCATTCACTTCTCACCTCTGGACTAAAATTAATCCAGAAATCACAGTTAGTAGCATGGAAAACCGTTATAGAAGCGGCCTTGTATTGTTGCATCATTAACCTTCAGACGATCACTGAAGGCACTGAACAGGGCCTTATTGTGCAAGCCACCCTTTTAGCTACCTCTGGAGAGGGATCCATCCCACTCTGTGCTAGAGCTGGGCCTCAGCTGTGTAAAGGCAGGCATGAACATTTGGGTCTCTGGCTAATCTACTTACCTTTTATGGTCAATGGAGAGAAACAGGCGCTTCTAGGTCATGATTCATCTTGTCCAAATGTAGGCATCAAGAATAACTAGGTGAATCACACTCTAAAACTGCTTATTTCTTTCCACTATAACGGGAAATTATCAAGGGAGGACAAGGTGATCAGCTCATATGCATACACCTACCCTGTCAGTGTCTCCAGGGATGTGAGATGAACCTCCTACACACCTAAGACAGATATGATGAATTGGTCTCTTGGAGGGTCTTATCTCTCTCCATTGCTTAGGAAGCAAGTAAAAGGCAGGCACCTAGCTTAGACTAGACACTTAACTTCTAAGTTACTAATATTAAATTGAATTACTCCCACTCTGAATCTATATATGCTACTAATAAGCAACTTTTTTTGGGGGGGGCAACTGTTGGCCATTCTCCAAAAGAGGTATCAAGGATTCAGGAAGCAAATGGAGACAAATTTCAGAGAAGTTTCACATTTAAAATGGTAGTATTTTATTTAAAGCTTTTTATTTTAAATTATAAGTTTTCTCTTCTGATGGTCAATTTGCAACTTCAAAACACAGAACAGATTTACTCTCCTCTGGCATTGGTAGGGTTAACCTGAGCACTCTGATGATAGGGAGGTTGTGCCTGGATGGTTGAGGGCAGGTTTGGAACCTTCCTCCGTAACTCTTTGATGGCATCAATCTCTTCTACTTCAAGTTCTTGTTTGTCTGAAACTTCAGGAGCGAGAGGATGGCCTGCTGGAAGTTGTCACCCGTCACTACATAGAGCAGGAAGTTTCCAAAAGTATTTAAGGCTGCTAAAGATTTAGCTATGATAAACATAAAAAGGATCACGTTCTTCAGATGGCAGCTGACCGGTCGTACTCGGAGCTCCAGCCGAATCCCCCGAAAGACGTGGAAGGGCAGGAAGCAGACATAGAAGACCACCAAGAGGACGATGGCGAGTCTGCGAGCCCTTTGCTTGTAGCAAGCCCGTGTGTGGGGCCCGGTAGCCAAGGCGTAAATAATGAATGCATAGCACAGAGTCACCGTCAGCATGGGCAAGATGAAGGCAAACGTGGTCAGCAGCCAGTTGTACCACCTACTTGTGTCAAGGTCCTCAGCAGTAGCCAGGTCTGAGCAGATCGTCCTGTTCTGTGTATACCTCATAACAACCAAGATGCCCAAGGGGCTGATGGCCACCAGGGAAATCACCCAAACTACTACGCAAGTCACCACTGCCCATCTCCGTTTTTGAACAAAAAGGCATTTAGTTGGGTGGACAATGACAAAAAAGCGGAAGATGCTGAAGCAGCTAAGGAAGATAATACCGCTGTACATGTTGAAGTAGAAACAAAAGTGAATAAACTTGCACATGAAGTTTCCAAAAATCCAGTTATTTCCATTAGCAGAGTAGTGCATAAGGAAAGGAAGGGTGGCTATATATAATAGATCAGTGACAGCCAGGTTTAACATAATGATGGTGCTGTTTTTCCAGGGCCTCATCTTGACAACATAAACAAAAATTGTCAGGATGTTCCCTGGGAAGCACACCAGGAAGATGAGGGCATAAAGGACAGAGAGATAGAATTTCACCTGTAAGAAATCTTCTTCCTTGCAGCTTGTCAACAGGTCTTTGTGGCCTGGCAGAGCAGTAAAATTGCCGGTGCCTTCAGATGCCATGTTTGCAGAAATCTTCAAGCTTTACAAAAAACAAGATGTTCAGGTTTAATTGATTTGTTGGGACAAATGCATTCAGTTAAACCTTTTGTCACTGGAGAAAATGTCATATGTTTGACAAGGCATAGTAGAGGGTGAAAACAGGAATTGGCTAACATACCCAGCTGTGACATAGATAACCCCACTCAAATGTTTAAGTTCACCCTTTCCTCTCCTTTATGTTTAATTTTTATAATAATTAATTTTACACTTGCTTTATTTAACCTCCTATGCTGAAGAAGACAATTATTGCTTATCTGCAAACCTTCATATTTGAAGAGCTAGAGAGAGCTTGGGCTTGAATTTTGCAAAACTGTGAATTTGTCTTAGCCTTTTAGAAAGTAGAACCATACCTGAATCTTACCTTCATTCATCTGAGCTAATCAGTGTTTTGTGCTCATGAAACCCAAGATGCTGTTCTGGTTTCATGAAATAAAAGATGTTAGGTTCAGATACAGCTGTCAGGACCTGATGTTCCCATAACCTGACAATCATGGCTCATTCCCTGAATATGATCTTATTCTCTTGGAGCCATCAGAGTATAAAGCTAGTATAACTGCCTTTTTTTTTTTTAAATCAAGCTTCATAATGGCAGAAAACTGATTTAAATGATTAAAGACTGTTTCTCAAAGTGCAGAGGGAAGGTGGAAAGCACAGCTATTGCGTGAAGGCACTGATCTTGCCTCCCATTCTGTGCGAATTGGGGCTGGGTAGACTTGTCTCTGAAATGGTTGTTGGTCTGCCATAGCCAATTTGAAAGTTTCCACAGTGAGTTCAAGACATAACCTTTCTTGGTAGTGTTTTAATCATCACATCTAACTTCAGATAACATAAGGTTAGATGCTTAAAGTGGAGCCAGTCATCCTAAGCCCCTCTTTATCATCAAGGGAGAGATGTAGGTTCCTCCAGGACGTAATAAGTGAGGTTTCTAAGATAAATAATTTACTCTTTTGGCATAGCTATTTCTTTCCATTGATGACAAAGGCAGCCCAAGATGACTAGTTCAGATCTGGATGTCTAACCTCAGGCATCTCAAGCGAGGCAAGAGGCACTATGTGTCTTCAGCATCTCAGGTGAGTGCTACTCCTACAGATCCTAACCTATTCCACCTGAGAAAATATTTCTAAGACTTCATAAAGTGCTAGACAGGGTAATATCAAGCCCAAATCCCTCCCTCTTGTCCCATAAACAGAGACTTTAAACTAAGTCAGTGTTACATTGAACATACAGGATGAAGCCATCACATTAAAAAAAAAAGAAAAAAAAAAGACAGAAAGGTACCTTGTTTCAGTCCTGGAAAACCTGTATATAGAATTAGTCTTTGATGTGCTTCAGTTAACAGCATTTAGCATGTTACCTGTATGGATGTTTCTTCATTATCCCAATGACTGGTAGAACATGACAAATTTGCTCAGACAAAGCCAGCCATTAAAGCAGGGACACAAGAGGAATTATTTGATCATAACCAGTCAGAAAGATGAGTATCGCTTTGTTACTCAGCAGCACTTCAGAGAGAAATTTGAACAGTCTCCCCATAATTTAGTTAAAATGCTAATGCTTTTAACATGAATATTTGCTCTGGTACAGCAACTTTGCAGTCAAAGATGCATTAGGTAAAGACCATGAAGCTTGTTTTAAACAAATCCAGATTTACATTCACAAAAGCTAGGGATAAACATGTTTCCTATCTTTTCTGCTGCTTGGTGATACCACTGTCACCCACATTTATGCTTCTTATTGGCATATTGCAAGTAAAGCTAGACAAAACTTTCTAGAACATTTGATTCATCCTCAGTTTAATTTTCTTGCAATGCTGATTGGTTCTTCACTGCAATCTTGAACCCTCCAAACTGAAAATAGAGAAATATTGCTTACCTGAAAACATGCAATTCTGCTTCTCCCTTTGATACTGCTTTGAGCAAAGAGCCCTACAAATGAAAGGTATTTATGTCTTCCTTACAGTGCACCAGATTTTAGTACAGCTTTGCAGCTCTCTCCCTGGCAGACTGAGACTCCGTGTGGCCGTAAATTAGGAGATTGGTAGAAAACCTCAGTTACTGGCTCAGGTATCAAGTTTTAGACCTCAGCAGCTGGAGGACATCTCTTTTGCCCTCTGTCATTCATGCTGTCTTGCCTTCAGTGGGCTTTGCTGGCAGCAGTTCTGCGTGCTGAGGTAGACCTACGGTATTCAAATAGCAGCGGATCACATTTAAATTAGCGTGTATGCGTGCGCGCATGTGTTTATAAAAGAGAAAATTAAATTTATTCTCCATTTCCTGTGAAATGAAACCTGATCACCAAAGTGAATACGGCATGTTGCCATTTCAAGGTCAGTTGAAAAATGTTATGGCATACTGTCTTCATTCAAAACAAATTTCTAATGAAGTACAGTTTTACTCTCATGTAAGGAATGAAGGTTTCTTTTGGTACAATATGCTTTTTAGGAACAGTGGCATGCTTTCTACTTATTTCTGGTGAATAAAATATCTACAATTAGTGTTGGCTGGTTATTACTGGGTAGCTGAAGTTGCAAACTTGTTTTCTTTTGAGCCTTTGCTTTCAGGCTTCATGATTCACAAGAGCTGCAATTTTCCATGCTTCTTGAACCAAAAGACTGTACTTGAATAAAAAATCTCATTATCATCCTTAGCTCGAGGAAAAAGATCCAAAGAGATTATTATTTAAAAAGAAAAAAAAAGTCATATTATCTTGAATTTTGGAACTGTAGACTTCAATTCCTGAGCTTCTAACCTGATCCGTGCAAAGAGGCCCCACCTGCCCAGTGTGGCCAGCACCATTTGGCCTTGGTACATTTTATAGGTCCTACTTGTTGATGAGGCTTACAGTGACAATCAAGCCTGGGGCAACAGTAATGTCTGACAACTGGCACATTATCTATCTGTTACCATTAGGGGGTAGAGTATCATCTTTGTTCTCATCTGACCAAGCTTTTCTCTAGGTCAATGCCCAGAGCACTTTTTAAAAATGCCCGAATTTGAGTTGTAAAATACATCACTGTGTACCATCTCAGGGAGGAGCAACTGTTTAAATAGTTATTACCCTGTTCATAGGCACTGCACATGTCATTAGAAACCATTTGTACGAGGCTGTAGTGTTACAAGCACAACAGGAGCTAATTATAGTTAGGGATCATTTAGTGTGTCCATTATACCCTGGAGCAATAGGAAACCTGTGCAGCAGTGGCTGGTATTTATCCTTGTGGTGGCAGTGCCTCATGTGAAGCAGAAATGGGCTTTCCAGGCACCATGGCCCAGCACTGCCTGGGATTTGAGAAGGTGGGGTCCCAAGTAGCCACCGTGGTCACCTCTGAGTATCTGACTCTGGGCAGGAAAGGAAAAGAAACCACCCAGTTTCAGGCCAATTTCAAGAGAGGGGGACTAACAGAAGGTCAGTCATGCAGAGCTGCTCTGCAAGGAGACCAAGCTGTGCTCTTAGTATACTCAAATCTTGTCTCATCATCAGCTGAAGAGACCATGCAGGTCCTACGTGCCCCTGGCCTCCCTCCCCACACCCTTCACCAGGGTTTCAGCAACTCCTGTGGGCCATGACTGCAGCCATGCGACTGGCCCAGAGGCTCATGTCAGGCACTTGGGAAATTATGGATAAACTAACAAGTGAATATTCACACTTGTAAATATCTGACTTAAATTACTTGGCTGGCATTGTGTAGGACATCTATGAAGAAAAGTTGGTGCTGCCGTGTGACTTTCAGCTCTTCAGTCTGTGAGCCTTTTCTCTTTACCAGTAGGTTCTCCACCTCATGCCCATGTACATTTTAGGCCTGCCCATTGGTAGACCTATCTGATCCATACCAAAAAGTTGGTCTTTGTCGTGCTTTAAGGCTATCCTCACCCTGCATTGGAGGGAAATCAAAATACCCTGTAGTTTCACAGTCAGCTTAAGTGACTCTAATTGCAGGCTGCCGTCAGAAGAGTTGGCATCACCACCTCCCTCCTCTCTGCCTAAACCACATGTTTTCGTTGGCCCCAGTGCTTGAGCAGTCACGGGAAGTGTTGGATGAGTGAGCTGGCTGAAAATAAACCACTATTCTTATTCTTGAGTTAAGTTTTCTGGCACTTTCGTGAGGGACTGTGGCTCCTTTTGTGGCTCAAAGGTTTGCGGAAAGTGATGATGGGCGCTGACCAGGGGCCAAAGGAGGACAGCAGAGGTAGATTGGCTCACACTGGCAGCGACGTTGCATGGTGGGTTCCTGCTGTGTAGTGGTGTTTCCCTCTGAGCTACTGGCAATCAGCCACCCTCAGCTGCAGCTAGTCTCCAGCAGTGCTCCTCCCCACCACAGACGGCACTCATCTCTTGTTTAGGCAGGCTTCCAGGCAGGCTGCAGTGATTTGGCTGTCATTTTCCCTAATTTGATGAGTATTGATAAGAATTGCAAAGATCAGTAATCCCACAGCAAAAAGCTGCACCTTTCCTGAAATAATCATTCTGAAGTCCTATAGAGTTAATGCAAGTATATAAATGTTGTTCTTAGTCACTGTATAGAAAGGAAACTGGAATGATTCATTGGCAGGATTATTAATTATATTTCCTCTTAAAATTTTATACTATAGGCTGGGTCAGTTATCACAGAGTACGTGGCGCAGATAGGATCATCTCTTCATACTGTATTTTTCCTTCTGCGGTGGCAAGGTGAGCAGGATGCACAGGATGACAGATGAGTCTGCACACCTGGAGCACATGAGCTCCTTCAGAAACTTCCAGTCTAAAACACAGAAGTGGAGAATGAAGTCAAATACTTTTATTTTGCTTTGTGGCTGGTTGCAATGTATCTTTCCTTCCAATGGGCTTGCTGTTAGCTTTTGAGAGCAGAAGAGGTCGTAGCAGGGCTTTTTGTGGTGTCTCAGCATCACCACTGAACTCAACCATAATTAGGACTTGTAGGCATGAAGATCCATAAACAGCTCCTCCAGCACAAGGGCCAT